TGCTAGACAACGCAATGAATCTTTGACCTAGATTTTTGAAGGGAATTATAGAAGGTAAGGTATACTTATTAAAACAAGTGCAGCCTGAATGGTTTTAACTTTACCACGTTAGCTCCTGCAATGCCAATTTAAACTATCACTTTCTATTAGAAAAAAAAAAAGGCAAAAAAGCACAAACCAAAAAAAAAAATTGGGTGGTATTCAGTTCTGATTTAGAAATTGAATAGAAACCTAATGTTTAAGTCACAGTTGTAGCAGCTGACACAGTATTTAAAGCTGTAGCCATTCTGGCCAAAATAAGAAAGGAAAAAGAAAACTCTTTCTTTTAAAACTATTACTGTATACGTGGCTTTAGGGATTGCATCAGCTGCTAGGGTTACAATTTCAGCTTCTTTTTTTAAAAAAGAAAGATATACATTAGTAAGACAAGGGAGAAAAAAATAGCATTCTGTTGTGTTTAAAAAGTTTAATGTATGTACAGAAGCCCTGATACTGAAAAAAACCTAAAGTTAAAAGAACAACCTATTAAAAAAAGTCTCTATTTTTAAGTGTCCCAGTTGCCTACATTACACAGAAAAAAAAAGCCTCTCTAGAAATGTCTAAAAATTTTTATTTGTAAAGCAAAATTTGCATGCCCCAGCTACATGCATTTAGTTTCTAGAAATATTTCAAATCCAGGTGCCATAATTCTCACTACATCACACTGAGACTTGAAATTTTTCCTTTTTTGTGTCCAAACATGTTTTTACCACAAGCATTTTATCTAGAAATTTTGAAATGTTCTCCTTTTTAATAGTAAATGCCACTGTCTACATTCTGGTATTTTCACTCAGGAAACAAACAAATGAGATCTTCCAAAATGATGGCGGATGACTGTGACAAAATTCTGTAAACTCTTTACTTAAACAGGGGACATCTTGTGATCATTCTCTACACAGACCCTGCAAATTACAAAAAATTAAGAAAAAGTAATTTACTTTCTTTTCACAGGGACCTATAGAGATTAGCAAAAAAAAAGTTTTTCTAAAATGTTATTAAGTAACATTCCATTGCTTTTGCCCACAAACTGGAATTATCCTCTCTAGTGTTTGCTGAAATCAATGCTAATGATGCCAGAGGATATATTTTTAAATTATTCTAGATTAAATGCTTGGCTGATTTTACAAAATAATTTTCAAACATACTGACTCTTGAATCAAAACATATCTGAACCTCTGATGTTGTAGTAAATGAAAAACACCTATGTTTCAGTGCCTAGGATAAAGTCTAAATAAACAAACATAAACCCCATCTGTCATCCACAAAGAAAAAAAATAGTAATTCAGTGCTTTGTTGAAAAATGTGAACTCCATTGCTTTTCAGACCTCTATTTAAGAGGTGAAGAATGTAAGGCCAACTCTATAGATCTATCAATCAGCAGAATTATACCCATCAAAAATGTGAAGAGATTTCCTGACCTGCAGCTTATCCTGCCAAAGCCTTTAGCGTTGCAGTTATATCATCAAACCTGCTTTTACTGGCATAACTACTTTGACTGAGAATGTTCATGTATATATGGTAAGTTATGCTGGAAAAGACTGGGGTATGGACTACATCCACATTAGCAGTATTTTGCCAAAAGAGGATCCTAGCCAAGCAATCCTAGTATGGTCTTGCCTAACTTCAAGCTTTTATTTGATTGCAACATCAGTATACAAACCTGCTGGCAAGCTTTGTACTCTGCTCCTACACTTGACTAATGCAGTGACAGTTTGTGGCACCGACAGAGACTCTCCTCACATGAGCATAGATTTCCACCAACACGTCACTCTGTCTCTACACGATCAGACTGGATCAGAACCTTCTCCAGCATATCTACACTCATAACCTATAGCTCTCATTATCAAGGATGCTGAATGCCCCTGTCTGTGCCAGAAGCATTCTGAATTCTTACTGAAACATACATACAAATACACACATAAAATCAGACCAGTTGCTAATGTAGATATAATTATTTCAATGTCTGCCACTCAGCTTCGTATGTTCTAGGCCTTGCTTTTCCTTTCTGTGGAAGAAAGGAGAGCAAGAGTTACAAATGTTGCAAAAGGCAGTGTGTTTTGGACATGAATACCAAAACAACATGAAATGGGTCTGTAAAGGCCTCTGTAACTGCTGTTTCAAACACTTAAGACATATCTTCATAAACTTCACTTCAGCATTGCTGCAAACAATGGCAAACATTATTGTACTTAAGGGCATCTGTTTTATTTCAGTAAATCAGCTAATAGTACTTATCAGCAACAGAAGGCTGTGCACTAATACTTCCAAACGTACTTCATAATGCCAGCCAAACAGTGTAGGTGCTTTTTATTCTTTGAATATACAACTTTTCAGTTTTGCTAAAACCCACTTCTGAATCAACTCATGCATGATCTCTATCTGCTATGAAGTCAAACGAGAGTAACCTCAACTTCAGAAAGAAAGTGGAGTTGACTGTTTACTCACATATTTTAATTACACAAGTATTTTTCTTTCCATCTGTTCACCAAAGTACTGAGATGCAGAGTCTTAAGATAAAAAACAAATTCATCATAAATGTCACTCACTTGAGTCAGGAGATCTTGCTGGTTAATTATTTATACATAGTTTACATCTGCAGTCATTCAAAGAAAACAAAACAAATGAGAAAAGGACTGGACCTCAGAAGAGCTGTGAGCCTAACAAATGTGGTCTGAGGTGCTCTGGCTACATATTACTTGTGAAGAAAGATCGTTTCACAAGCAAGCAAAACCTCCTGCATTTCCTCCAGCACCTACTGTGTTGATAGGGAAGAAATTGTGCCCATCAGTATATGTTATGTGCCACTCTAGCCATCACTTTGCCCTGTCATCAATGAAATAATGAGCAGGTTTGTCGTGATTTGGGCCTAACACAACAACAAAGAAACAGCATCATGGCCGGTCACTCAACTCAACTCCCCCACACACAAAATGTGGGATGGGGAGGACAAAGGCCAACTAGAAGGTCATGGGTCAAGACAAAGGACAAGGAGGGTTCTTCACTGATCAATGTCACAAGCAAAGGAGACTCAACTTGGGGAAAAATAATAATTCAATTTCACAGTAATCAAGCACACACAGGACACAGACAACACAAAGAGCAGGGCTTGCAGATGTTACCCCACCCCTCTCTTCTTCCCAGGCCCAAATCACTTTGTTCCCAGTTTCTTTCCCTCCTTCCCCCCAGCAGCACAGGGGGGCAGGAGATGTGGTTTAGAGTCAGTTCACAGGCTGGGGGTTCCTGCTGCTCCTTCCTCCTCAGGAAGGAGGATTCTTTAAAGTCCTCCCCTGCTTCCCCAGGGGGTGCCTTCCATGGGAGAGAGTCCTCCACGAACCTCTCCTTCATGAGTCCTTCCCATGAGATCCAGAGCTGCTCCAGCCTGGGCTTCCCACAGAGTTATGGGCTGCTTCGGGAACAGTCACCTCCCCTGGCACTAAGGTCTTCCACAGCTTCATAACCCAGCAGCAAGATTGAGTCCACTGGCCAAGTTGACCCCTACAGGTGCCTTCAGGGAATGTTCCACTACATTCCTCCATGAGTGCAGGGGGACAGCTTGCCATCTCACCACAGGCTGCAGGGTAACTTCTGCTTGGGCACCTTCTTCCTCTTCTTGCACACCTGCCATCTGGGATCTTCACCCCAGCATTGCCTTTCACCTCTCCAGCACAGCTCTTCTTGAAGTGCTTCTCTGCTCAGGTGTAATCTCAGTTCTTTTGTATATTAACTGCAGAGGCACGTCTATTGTCCCTCTAATGCTTAGCTGCGTTTGGAGCAGGGGGAGCTTCTCAGCTTCTTACCAGAGCCACCCTTGGGACCCTTCCCTCACTACCAAAACCCTCACCAAATCGAACCAGCACAAGGTTATATACAGAAAAATCATATTTGCCACCTATTAACCCAAAATATGCTGCTTCAACAGACTTCCACTCATGGCCTTGATTTTTCTGTAACATGGTGAGTACATTCACGCCACAATCTCTCAATTGCTTTTCATGCCTAAGTAAATCATAAAAATACATGGAAAGGTGGGGTTTTTTTCTCGTATTCGTGAGTGCCAGACAAAATCTGCTATTACACCTGTTTATACCCTCCAAGAAATTTTTTTCTGACTTTCAAACATCTGTACCTTTAAAGTCACAATGTTGAGAATGACACAATTTCCTTTTCCTTTCAGCATTCATGCACACTTATGCATGAATTCAAAAAGAAACTTAAGCCCCACTACCTTTCAAAGAAACATCTTCTTAACTCAGAGCTGCAATCACCTTAAAAATGAATGTAAGAAAAAATCAAACATCTCTAAAATATAAGGCTATGCCTTTAGATAGCTAAATATGGAGGTAGGTGTCCAATTTTTAGCCTTTAGTTTTGACCTCATTAACTTTCAAATTCCTGGGTGAAAACATTAGCTGTAGTTTCCGTCTAGGACTGAACACAGTGTCATTTAGTAATGAGATTTGTGCTACAGTTGTAGCAAACTTAGACTACCCTCAAACTAGAAGAAATGTGTGATTTTAAATTACCAGTCTTTTACCCAGAAGGAATAACTTTCACATCATACTTGTCAAATAAACTGAACACCTTCAGAACTGACACCTAGCACCAGATAAAACAGAATATTTTAGTGGTTAATTTTTGGGAGTTAATATAGGTAGGACTGTGATCCATAACATGGCTCTGTAGTGCCATTCCAACACACACAGGAGCATCACCTTTGTATTAAGGAAAGATACTATGACAATAAGACCTGAATTTATATTACAGACTATGACATCTGTGAAGTTTTAACCATGTAGAGTCTTAACTACTTAAACTAACAGTTCCTGGGCAGCAGTGCACTGTTGAGCTCCATTTTTTCAAAAAGGAAGTGTTATGACTGTCCGTAGCAATAATCACACGTGTATTTTACACTACTGGAATACAGTAATTTAATCCCACAGTTAAAATACATTAAACAATACCTGGCAGGAGCTGTTGGGTAAATAACTTTTATATGTTGGAAAGCCATGTCTTGATTCAAAATTTGTTTTATCCATGCTCTTGCTCCTTGGCCAGTATCACCTGTATCACACAGAAGAGTACAAGAATTATTCTGAGCATTTAGAAAGAAAACCATAAAATGTCAAACATATTTATACCAAATCACCCTAATTTATAAATCACAAAGTTGATCCTCCAAAATGCTAAAAGAGAACCTTCTACAATAACCTCAATCCCCTTTCCAAGGAAGATGGGACTCAAAACTTCCTAGAAAGAGACCTTTAGAGGTCTCACAGCCTAAGTTTAATATCCAATAATGAATACTGTATGCTTCAAGCTTGAGGAAACTGGGCCATCAAAGAATATGGTTTATAGTACGCAGACATACACACAGTAATGTTCAGTCTAAAAATCTGGTGGAGATTCAGCAAACTGGAATTTCACTACTGCCACTCATGCTACAAGACTTTAGTCTTAAAACAGTGCTCCCACATACTATCAACGCAATGAGTTAACACCAGTCTCTCAAATTGGTCAGTTTGATTTTAGAACTCACTCTACTCTTCTCAATAAAAAGGCCAAGCCACAAGAAAAAAGATTACTGCTGAAAGCCAGGATTACTGCCAAATTACATTGGTTCATCTGAAAAATGTCAGAGAAATATACTGATTTATTGTTACAATTATTGTAATTCCCCAATGGAGAAGAATTGCTTGTGCTTGAGCACTCAAACAAAATTCAGTCATCTTTACTTACACATACAACTAATGCATCATCAGAATTAAAACGGAAGGCAAAAGGATCCAAATTCAGCATTTTTTTCTGCTGAGCTCAAGTGGCATTGCCATGAAGTTCTCTGTGTTCAAACTAAATAACCCAAGTGACAAATAAGCAAGAGAGTAACAAAACTAGCACGAATCTTACTCTGTGCTATGCTGAACAGTAAAATCAAAGTCACATCTTTAAATGGATGCTTCAGAACACATTTCCACTAGCACTTGGCCTAAGAGAGCAGTATAGTCTGAAGTCCAAACACACCTCTGATTCCTAGTTGACACTCCTTACAAGCAAGGGTTTCCTTAGGGCTGCTGTCACCTAATTTGTGGACATACCTAAAGGAGGCTCAAATAAATATTTCTTTTTCTATATGCCTCTCTATTTTCAATTAGAAAGCAAAATTCCAGGCTTGGCAAATACTCACACAGGGCTGACTAATCCTCAGGTAGGTCAACTTCTCAACTATCTGAATGCTTACGGAACTGGGACTTACTTGCATCTTTAAAACTCCTTAATACTTCAGGACACATCTTTTATTATTTAGTCACATTTCTTAAGCTTTGCCAAGATCAGTAGAAGCATTTACAGTTAATGAAGCTAGCTTGTCCATGACAATTAATAGAAAACTCATTAAGTAAGAGAAAAAATAACTATGACCTTCTGTGTGTCAAGGGTCCCCATGGTGCAAATGCTCTGTGAGCACTTGGATGCAGAGATAATGCATTGCAATTTGGTACAAATAGAATCTGGAGATGAGGGGAAAAAGGGAGGAGACTGCGACACGAAACAAAACCAAAGAACCTCCTGAAAGGTCTGCCTTTCAGGCTGTTCCTGGATTTTAGCATTACATGTCCTTCCAAACACTGCTAAGATGAAGCAAACAATGAAACTACAGTTCTGCTTTGAGTCTGTTTCCAAACCTGAAACAGACTCATGGCAGCAATATTATCTTTCCCTCCCCTCCAAAGTAAAATATGAATGATATTTCTTGATATGGCTTGAATTTTCAAGGTTTTTTTCTGTGCAAAGTTTAAACTTCACAGCAAGTAACATGCATGTTACAAGAAGCAAAGTTGTAAACTTAAGTTTAAAAAAAATACTATACATTTGTTACATCCATTTCCCTTCCCTGTTGAGCTACCAAATGGACCCTCTAACTAAATCTGACGTGCAGTACTTGAATTTTTAAAAATATTTTTCTCCATCTCTTTGCATTTACATTCTCCATTTGTTATAATTTGTCTGGAGCAAACATTATAAACAAAGTGGATTAATGCCATTTGACTGCCACTTTCCATCAGAAGCCCTGTACAGAAGGTACCAATTCAGGTTTACAGGCCAGCCCACAGCAACAGCGCTGCGGCTACTTCTGTTTTAAATTCTGTTCTGTGGAACTGCTGAACAAAACCAAATAAAAGCACTTTTGTACTTCCCCACTGCAAACATTAGGAATGAAATTATATAAAAAATGAAAAATTGTAGAGTGCTTTAACCACATGTGGGATCAACCACTAACCATAATATTCCCTTACTCCTCCAACACAAGAGAAAATTATTTCCTCAAGCATTAAAGCATTAGCATTAACAAGAGGGCCGAGCACATCCTAAGAACTCTCCTTCACTTCCATTTTCTGATTCACAGAATTTGATAAAAGCAAAATTAAAGTAGATTATAAATATGAAACTAATTTCATAAGCACGTACATGTTTGTTAAACTATGCAGAAGCATCAGGTAAAGGGAAAATTAAGAGAAAGACACTGAAAGAGTTGAGCACATCACCATATGCACATTGACAGCTCAGTAGAGGTGATTCCCAAGGCCATGACATTTTTTATTTATTTTTTTTTCCCCTGAAGTACTGTGTACTTGGTAGCTGTTGTTTAGACTAGAAATAACCTTTAGGAGAAATCCCAACAAGACACACGCTGTCCTCAGACTGGTCACTGATGCAGGCCTGCAGATGGCGGCCATGAAGCCAGTTTGGACAAAACCTTAAGACCCTTCCAAAGGGAAAAGTCGCCTTTCAAAAGGTGACACCACTAGTCTCAACCTGATCCTGAACGTACCGAGAACCATCCTAACTACTAAAATAACCCCTTGCATGGGGCTGCCCTTACAGGAGGTGAAGGAGGACACCCCTTCCCGCGGCCCAGCCAGGCAGGCTGCTGTGTGACACACCACCCTAACACACCCCCCACGGCCCCACCTCAGGCCCGGGGAGGCCCAAACGCCTCCCCGCACACCGCTCTGCCCATGGAGGCTCCTCCACCGCTTCGGGGGGAAGCTAAAACCGCAGGGGCAGGGACACTTCACGCCCCGCAGGTCCCCTCACCCGGCACTGAAGGGGCCGACACCGACGCCCGCCCCGCCGCGCAGCGGGACGCGGAGGCGGCCACCCCCAGGGCCACCCAGCTC